TTGCAGTTGGCAGAATTAGCCTGCAATGCTGCATTCTAACCACCGCGCCACCAGGATTCTTGCGCCTTCAGATGGCTAGGAGTACCCTCATCTGTTCTCTCTGTGACCATGCTTGATACGGCAGGAACAGGCTAGGGTCGCTGCATCCTGGAAGAATGTGTATCTCTTCTACTTAACCGTTAAGAGACTAAGATCAAAAGCTTCCCTGGCCCAGGTCAGGAGGACGAGGGTCAGCGCACTGCTAGCCAAGACCTTCATGCTACTTCTCCGGATTTCAGAGCTGGGTGATTGTAGAACAGCGGCTTCTTCTGAGCTGCAGCACTTTGTGTTTTGTTCCCCCTGTGCAATGAAAGTCCTAGAATCTTTTTTTTTTCCTTTAATCGGGAACACTTGGTGCCATGGGCTATAATTCTTGTAGAGCGTTAAGAAACAGTAAGAAGAATATTTGCAGGTATTTCCGTTTGCGTGATTTACTGCTCAGTGGGGAACATAGATTCCCCCCTCCCGTGGTAGCTGGCTGTCCTCATTCCTTGACCGTTGAAGAACGGGTTTGGAGATCAGAGACAGGGAAGGAATCCCCAGTTCTTGGCCATCTTGTGAACGAAGCCGCCGATCAGCTCTTGCTCACTGTACCACAGCGGTGGAGAAATCTGTGACCCTTGGCTGAATTAGAACCCATAAGCATTTTTTCTCCCTTAGCGAGGCTGAAGGTGGTGGCTGCAAGTATTTAGAATAGAATAGAGCTGGAAGAGAACTTTGGAGGTCTTCTAGTCCAGCCCCCTGCTCAAGCAGGAGAATCTATACCATTTCAGACAAATGACTGTCCAGTCTCGTCTTAAAAAACCTCCAGCGATGGAGCACCCACGATTTCTGGTGGCAAGCTGTTCCACTGGTTAATTGTCCTCCCTGTTAGGGAGTTTCTCCTCAATTCCAGGTTGCTTCTCTCCTTTGGTCAGTTTCAACCATTGTTTCTTGTCCTGTCCTCTGGTGCTTTGGAAAATAACGTGACCCCCTCTTCTTTGGGGCAGCCCCTCAAATACTGGAACACTGCTATCATGTCTCCCCTATTTCTTCTTTTCTTTAGACTAGCCAAACCCAAGTCCCGCAGATGTTCTTCGTATGTTTTAGTCTCCAGGCCTTGGATCATCTTAGTTGCTCTCCTCTGAACTTTTTCCAGGCTCTCAACATCTTTTTACGTAGTATGATGACCAAAATAGGTTGCAGTATTTAATTCCAGGCTAATTCATCTGGAAAGCTGTGCTCCCCACCCTCTTCCTTGAAAATGAGCAAAAATGATTCCCCCAACAGCTTAGTGTAAGGATGTGTGGATAACCATGTCTTGCCAGAGGTGGATTGCTTACAGCTTGAGGCAGACTTGCAAAGTGTAATTTGGCCTCTAAACAATTCTAGAACCAAAGAAGATTCAGCTAGGAAATCTCTTGACCCTTTGCAGTTAAGTTTACACTGGTGCACAGGCTTTTGAGATTCTGACCATTAAGCAAGTAAATGTATGTATGTATGTATGTATGTGTGCGTCATGATTCCGACAGATGAAACTCTTCAAAAGAACTTCTTTACCTTAAAGAATCTTTTATTCGAGTAGCATAATCTCGGCACTGCATAATCGAAGCCAAAATCTGAATTCCCCTCCCCTGGGCACATCCTATCAAAGCACAATTCCCTCCTCCAATTAACAGTCATAAATACATTCCCCAATTATCTTGAAGCCCGGGCTTCTTCTCCAGCTCTCCAATTCTTTATCAGCTCTGGGCTCAATAACCTTGATTCTCACCCTAAGTTTAGTGCTGTTATGTCTTGTGAGACTCTCCTTCACACACACCCCTCCTCCCAGCATCATCGAACTCTAAAAGCGAAAGGAAAAAAGATGGCTACATTTCCATCTGTTGTCAATGCCAAAACATCCGATTTTAGCAGCGTTGAGAGTATGTATGTATATATGTTCCTATTGTGTTAGTCTAAGATTGTATCCCCCAATTGCCAGGCTAAATATGTCTCCCTCTTGAAGTAGTTGAGATTAAAAGCTGCAAAGGAGATTGCTTCCACGTCACAATGAAAACCCAGAACCTGTTTTTTTTTCTTTCTTTCTTCTGTACCTTCATCCTGGTGCTCTCTCTTTAAATAGGTCCGATCCATGAAGCAATTTCTCTGCTGGCAGCTCAACGGATTGCAGGGGTCTTGCTCCCCTTTGCCATGATCCAGAAAACAAGGATGAGATGACCCCAGAATGGTCAATGGGAGCGTATGGAAGGCCGGCTGGGTTCCAGACAGGCGGTGCCCAGGTCACCCCAGGCACGTTTTGCAGGCACTGGAAATGTAAGTGATCTTTGAAAGGGGGGGGTGGGGAACATCCTTCTTCAGCCATGGAGAATCACCCCGATAGGATATTCAGGATCTTTACAGCGACTTTCTGAATCTTTTCTCCACTTACCAACCCGCAATTGACCCCAGTAACCTAGAGAGCCTCACACTTAGATTCTGCCCCATTTCCATCACTATTCCTGACCCAGACTAAAGGCTGTTTTTGCCTAGTGCTCAGCCTGATTACAGAATTATGCCATTATCTTATTTTGCACAAAAGGCACACATAAAAACTAAGCACGTTTAGTGTGTGCAGCTGTTTTTTTTTCTAATCTGGTGTTAACTTTTTGGAGGGTGGGAAAAAAAAGAACATTCATTCCAATTCTGTAGCTAGCATCCCAAGAAAGTTTTGTTTTACAAAAATGACCAAGAGGGCCAGCAATTTCAATTCCGGTCTGATCCAAAAGGGGGCAACACTATCTACTAACTAGCCTGCCTAAGCCAAGATTGCAACACTCAACTGTTGCAGAATGGCGCCCTCTGGTGGTGATGTAAGGGGTACTGCAGCTGATCCTTGATCCAACTCAAAAGTCAGATTTGTATTATCAAATTGAACATTATCTGTACCTACCGAGTCCCTCAAAGCTTTGAACCATGGTCTTAAATCTTTCTCAAATTATTTGAAGGCACATCACTTAAGTTGGCAATTGAATTGAAAGGCTGAGTTATCTTGAAACTGCATCCACAAATCAAATGTTTTGTATATAACCTTAAGAAATGGAGGGTGGGATTGAAAATATGAAATTGGAGTTTTTTTTTCCAGCAGTACCCCAGCAGTTACACAAATATACTTTTATGTGCATAACGAACCTTTCTCCCTTCATTTTTCAAAGCTGGGAACAATATTCCCACCCTGGCTCCAAAATCATTTTATTAAAACACTGAAGGCAATCAACCTGCACAAAGCAGGCGCATTTAAAGGGCCAGCGAGGAAAAATAAAATAGTTTTTCTGCTTAAAAAAAAATATCGAAAGTTCCACATTCACATTTTTAAAGTTTTTAGTTTCGCAGCCCTGGTGTGGCAGCGGTTAGAATGCAGTATTTGCAGGTTGACTCTGCCCACTGCCAGGAGTTCGATCCTGACTGGCTGCAGGTTGACTCAGCCTCCCTTCCATCCTTCCGAGGTGGGTAAAATAGGGACCCAGATTGTTGGGGGGGGGGGCAATAGGCTGACTCTGTAAACTGCTTAGAGTGCTGCAAAGCATTACGAAGCGATAAATAAGTCTAAGTGCTATTGCTGTTGCATGATCAAGGAAAAAATAGCTTAATCTGAGAGAAGAGGCAGCCTGTAAAGTCTTCAAAATAATTGGCGTGTCATTTCCGTCAGTCCTGACCACTTGTCTCTTGCCAAAAGACGCCGATTACAATGAGAACAGTTCTCACCACTCAGGAATTCTACACGCATTTGCCAAATCCCAATATGAACACAAAAGGCCAAAATAAAAAGGTTGTTTTGGAGCTTCCTGGCAGAAACGTTACTGGCAAGATGAGCTTTTCTTTTCTCTGTCTGCTGTCCTCAATCCCCGTATCCGCCCCCCCAAAAAAAAAGAAGAAAAAAAGAGACGAAGACCATTTTAGAGGGTTTTTTTTAAAAAAAAGAAAAAAATAATAAAATCATACATACAGATATATCCTTCTAGCCGAGGGGTAGGCAACCTCGGCTCTTTTATGACTCATGGACTTCAACTCCCAGAATTCCTGAGTCAGCTATGCTGACTCAGGAATTCTGGGAGTTGAAGTCCATGAGCCATAAAAGAGCCGAGGTTGCCTACCCCTGCAGTCTAGCCTATACCTAGGCACAACTTTCCCACCAGAAGGCAGAATGAGTGACATGGGGACTGGCTGAAATCAGAGAGCCCTATCCTCCCCAGGTGCTCTCCAGAGCCTTTGGACTGCAGCCCCCATAATCCCCAGCCCTTGGCCCTTGTTTTTGAACCAGGGTGACTGGAATCTATCTTGGTATTTGGAAGGAACACGGGCAGGGCTGGATCAAAGGGTGCCTGCTTCCTCAAGCTGGTAGCTCAAGACATCCCAAAGAAGAACCAGCTCAAGGAAAAGTATATTTTCATTTTGCAGGCGGCCTCCCAAACGCACCACGGTTATCTCCTTAAAAGGCGGACAGTGCCTCGCGTTGGTACAAAATGGCAAACGGTCACTCGTTTCTAGGCTGCTTCTGCCCCCTGCTTAAAAAAGACACATGATTACGACAGTAATTTGGGGGAGCGGCGCGGAAAAGACCCAGGCTCGCTGTCGCGTGGGAGCGTGCTCCGATTCCGCGGACATTTCCGGCGGCACAAAACGGAGGGAGCTGAAAACGCCGCCTCCCTCTTCTCTCTGATGTAGGCAGGCCAAGCAGTGTGTACACAGCTGGCAGCAGCTGCTGCATGGGGTCAGACTCAGAGCAGAGTCCAAGTCAAGGGCTGGGGGGGGGGGAGAGAAATACCCAAACAGTGAGGATCTGCTGGTCCTCTGGGAGACGAACAATGGGGACAGCTAGGGAAAAGGATGAGAAGTGGGTGTCCGGTTTTGAAAACATCACCCTGTGCGGGGTGGGGTGGGGGCTGCCAAACCAGGCCCTCTGCTGAGTCACAGGAGGGAGCATCAGAAAAAAAAAAAACACCCAAGAGGGAGGCATATATTTGTTAGCTATAAATACAGATCCACAAGTTGGGGCAGTTAAAAAGGCCGGCGGGCAGCTGGGTGAATACTCCATCCTGGAAACAGCAGAGCCTGTCACCCAGGCCCGAGCAGATATTCTGGACGCTTACCAGGGGCCAAAAGCCAAGTCCTTCTCTTTAAATACATAACAGGAAGGAACGTCCAGCTGGCAGAGAGGGTGCCTGGAGCGCAGACAGGAGGAGGGCCGAACCATCGCGGAAGGAAATCTGCGATGCCCACTTTTTGAGGACCCCCCCCCAGAAGTTCAAGGGAAGAGGCCAAGCTGTCCGGTGGCGTTTTTTACACGGTACTCAGTGCCTGGGGAAGGGAAAGGGGGGGGGGAGAGAAGCAGAAAAATACAGCTGTTAAAGGAAACCGGAGGATAACGTAACGCATGGGAAACATTCTGCTCCAAACCAAAAGTGATAAACCAGCCCCACCCTACTTTCCCAGGCTTTGGAGGGAAGGGACAAAGCCAGCAAAGATGGCTAGGGAGAGCTTATAGCAGTGGTTCTCAACCTGTGAGTCGGGACCTCATTTGGGGTCGCCAAACAACGCAGTCCACCATTTCCCCCCCCTTTTCCTTAGCTGTGCTCCTCCCTCTTATTCTATTGGCTTTTGAAAGCCAATAGAAGAGACTCTCTTGAATAGAGTCTAATTCTATTGGCTTTCAAAAGCCAATAGGAATTGTCCAGGCTGTCTCTGCCCTGCTGAGCCCGCCAAAAGTCCCCTTCTGCAAACGGTGCTGCACCAGTTGAGTAGTCCTCGACTTACGACCGGTCGAGTAGTCCTGGACTTACGACCGGTTGGGGGGTTGTGGCATTAAAAAGGTTGAGAACCACTGGCTTACAATGACTGGGTGGGGCTCTTCCAAGGAAACTCACACTGGAAACAGCCGAGAATGGGAACAAATCCACGACTTGCAGGATTTGCCACACCGACGTCAAAAGCCCAGGAAGGGGGGGGGAAAAAACAAAAACAAACCGCGAGCGGTTTTACCTTTCGTGCAAACTCCGGCAGGACGAAAGAGGCTCGGTGGATGTCCGAGTTGTAATACTTAAGGCTCATTTGCTCTACTTGTTCCTGGGAAAGTAGCTGGACTGGTTCCCTGAAGTTGGTGTTCTGCCGAAGATTTTGCACAAGGGGGGAGGGAGAGAAAGAAAAAAAATGAAAAACGGGCGTGTTTATCCGCTCACAGCCCTTGGAATCACCCCGTGCAGCTTTCCCCATCATTTCTCTACTAGCACGAGGCCCGAGCAGGCAACAATCACCCCACACTGGACATTGCAAAGGAAGACCACCGAGAAGCCAGACAGACGCTCAGGAGCCATTGGAGATGTCCACCAAGACGGACGACACCTCTTCTGCCTTGCACCGAGCCTCCATACACAATCACACCAACTGGGGAGGGGGGGGGAAACAAAACCAAAGCCCTCTGGGTCCTTACTGGATTTTTGCTGCAAAGCATGAAGCCAATCTGGCCACTGGGATACGTCGGGATGGTGCAGTAGGCGTACTCAACCACCGGAAAGAGAGACTTACAGAACTGGCGCATCTCCTTTATGAGGTCAAGGTGCAACCACTGGCATTCCCCTGGTTGAAAGAGGGAAATAAAATAAAATAAAATAAAAATAAAAAAACAGGAGGATTTGTCCCGTCTGCCCCCGGCCCTGGTCTTTCTCCAGGCAGCTCAGCACCAGAGACGACGGTTGTTCTCCTGCAAGTCTCATCGTGTTTTTTTCTCGCTTTTATATAAAAGCACCGCGCAAGTAATCCTGTGGCGGGATAAGACCGGTTTTCTGGGTTCGTACATGCCCTCCAGCTCTTAAGCCAACCCCAAAACCAAGGTTGAAAGTAACCACGGCATATTTTGCAAAGGTAATTACAGGCAGTTCTCAACTATGGAGCCCAAAACCTCTGTTGCTAAGAGAGACAGCTGTTAAAATGAATTCTGCCCCTCTCTCGCCACCGTTGTTGTGTGACTCCCGGCAATTAAGTTAGCAACCCGGTTGTAATATAATAATAATAACAACAACAATGATATTTGTAATACCATCAAACATCCACATCTGCCTATCCCAGGTCCTGGGTAAGGACTCGATAGGTAGACAAGATGCCAAATCCAGTCTGAACATCTGGCTGACTGTGCAATGAGCTATAATAATAGTAATAATAATAAGAAGAATAATGTTGGAAGGGGCCTTGGAGGTCATCTAGTCCAACCCCCTGCTCAGGCAGGAATCTGGCTTTGACTTTGTTTGTCAGAAGGTCGCAAAAGGGGATCCCACATCCCCAGGACGCTACGACCGTCATAAACATGAGTCAGTTGCCAAGTGTCCGAATTATAATCACGTGACCCCGGGGAGGCTGCGACGGTCGTTAAGTGAAAAACTGGCCATAATTCCCCTTTTTTTCAGTGCCGTTGGAACTTTGAATGATCGCTAAACAAACTGCTGTAAATCAAGGATGACCTGTACTCCGTTTGCAACTGAATTGGATTAACCGTGCTGAGAATGCAGAGCCCCAACTGTTTGGGGAGTGCTCTAAGGAGGATCTTAACGCCCCATAGCAGAAAAACAAGGCCAAAAGAGAGGTTTGGCTCCCTCTAGCAAGAGAGAGCCGGACAAGACTGGCACTCTGGCTGGGAATCACCTTGGCAACAGAGGATCCCATCTTCCCGCAGGGCGGTTTTCATCAGCTGGTAGTAGGATTCCTTAAACAGGCTTTCGGCCGGACCTGACGAGAAAGAGGGTGTTAAAAAAAGAACACTGCAAGGTTCAATTCATCAGACTTAAACTGGAGAGATGTGGGTTCAAATCCCCCTCGGCTTGTAGCTTGCTAAGTGGTCAGAGGAGCTGTCCTCTTGTCTCTTGATCAGCTGACCTGGCCAGGATCATTGTAAGGATAAAATTGGGGGGGGGGAGGGAGACCTTAACCCAAAGCAGGAAAAAGATGGATTGAGAAGGCTGCCGGTGGGGCCCGCTTCCCCAGACTCACCCATGGGGTCAGAAGAATCGGTGATGATCACGTCAAAAGCTTCTTGGTTCTGCTTCATGAACTCAAAGCCGTCCCCAACGTGGAGCGTTAGCTTCGGGCTGGAGTAGCCCACCGCCATGCCCGGGAGATACTTCTTCGAGGCCTGGATCACGTCCTGCAACATTTTGATTCATGCATTTTTCTACCTCCAATCAATGAGTTCCAGGAGCAGCTTAGCCCAAACTGTCCCTTGGGGCAACTGATTGGACGGGCGTGGAACTCTTCTGCCAATCAAAGTCACTTGACATCACGTCACAGCTTTCCAGGATTTCAAGCAAAGGTTGGGTTTTTTTCTAGCTCTGCCTGAGAAGCTGAAGAATCAATCTCAGCCTTTCACATTGGCGCTACCTAAGGGGCAGCCCTTCCGTGGTTTAATCCTCAGGCTCTTCTTCCGATGTGGCCAGGACACGGAAATAGTTAGGAAGCCTCTCTCTGCATTCCCAATTTATCCGCAATGGGCCCTACCCGCTTCAGTAATTTCTGTGCATCCCGCCCGGGCTGTGCCCTTGAGCCCAATCAGGACTGCGTGATATACAGGCTACTTTTCAAGCTGACCATCATTTCAGAAATAAACAACCCGAGAATGAATCCCAGTAAATATCATGACGAACAAACCGCCACGGTAACTTTGATAGGAAACGTAATTTTAACGGCTTGAGTTTCTCCCACAAAGTGCCTGTTTTTCTACCTCCCAATTTCTGTAGTCTGGGAACTGCGAGGTTGTTTGAGGACTCAGAGGGAGCAAATCCATTGTCAGAACATTCCTGCCCTGGAGATTGATTTTTCACTGGGGGTGGGGGGGAGCATCTTTGATGAAGAACATCCTGTTCCAGGCTAACCACCTCACCCACCAGTTGGGACAAGTAGTGTTCCCTGCCTCTTCCTGGGCATCAAATCCTTTAATTTCTCTTCCACCCAATCTGCCAGTTGGAATTCTTTTCGCCTGATGCAATCTAACCAGGACAATGTTCCATTAAGGCAGGGGTCTTCCAACTTGGCCCTTTTAGGACTTGTGGACTTCAACTCCCAGACTTCCTCCACCAAGCACGCTGGCTAAGGAATTCTGGGAGTTGACGTCCACAAGTCTTAAAGTTGCCAAGTTTGAAGGGAAACCAAATGCACCCTGTTTGGGGGGACAGAGAGCAACTAAACACAGCAGTTTTGGTCGGCTGTTTTCTCCATCCAAAGAGGGAAACTGCAAGGAGGTGGATTTCAGTGAAATATTAGAATAAGCTTGCTAAGTTCAATAGACCTTAGCATTCTCAGGAGGGTGTCTTCCTTCACTGCAGATGTACACAAAACCTGAATCCTGCACAGTGCTGCAAATCTCGTCCAGAGCAAAGGCATTGGATTGGCACAGCCCATTGCTGAAAATGTTGGGAGGTAAAGTCCAAACATCGGGAAGGCAGGTTTCAATCACACCCACACACCCCTGCAATTTCACAACTTTGCTTCATTTTAGTCTCCCGAGGATTTTAGTTCCATGTTGCAAGGTTATACGTGATCTTGGTGATAATCGGTATAACATTGTGATGTCTGGGAAACTTAAATTGGGTGGAGTCTCTTTAGAGTAGGAGAATTTATTGAAAGATAAGCTTTGCCGCCAGAGATTAACACAGCTCTCCTTTTACAACATTTATAGTGCTAAATATTTTCTTGGAGTGAGATAAAATACATCTATATACATTCACCTCCTTACTGGTCAAATACACCCGTGCCACTTGGAGCATCAGTGTCTGATTTTCATGCAGAAGACCCTACACCAGCTCCCAGAGTAAATCAAGTTTTGCAAATCAAGGCCGCCTACCTCATCGATTTCACACTGTATTACTGACTCAACTGAAGGATGCTTCACCACTTCTCTTAAGACGCCTCCGTCGCCACCGCCGATAATTAGAATCTGGACAAAAAGGAGAAGATGCAGCCTTAAGCTACAAGCTAAATCTCCCTCAAAGACTTGCTTAGGTTCGGAGGGCAGCCGAATCCCCAAAAGAGCGTATAGTGTTAAAAAATAGAAAAAAAGTACGGATCGCATGCATCTACCGTACCAGAAAGCAAGTACGTAGATGTAACTCTACAGGGCTTGGCACCCATAGCTGACTCAGGAATTCTGGGAGTTGAAGTCCATGAGTCATGAAAGGGCCGAGGTTGCCTACCCCTGCCCTGGGGGGAAAAACAGCCAGCGTTTCAACAGCCTTTTAAACATGATCAAGATGGAGCCCTATGGATCTCTGGAGGGATGTTAATTGCAACAGAGATTTTTCTCCACGAGGACTAGCTGCGTGAACGTATAATTAACGATGATCATTTGTTGCTTGTACATACACTGAGAACTTAGGCACCGGAGACCAATTCCTCGTGTGTCCAATCACACTTGGCCAATAGAGAATTCTATAGTCTATATCTTCTATTAAGAATCATCGGTCAACATTTGAATGCTTCGTTCACTCCCCAACGGTCTCCACCACGTGGAAAAGGCTACTCCAGGGCATAGCAACACCTTTGCCAAGAGAAGGGGCTAGATTCCATGGACTCTGTCTCCTAGTGTGGCTGTGAAGTCTGGCCTGACACCCCGCGGGGGGGCCGTCCCCAGCCCAGGTAGCCAACAGCAAGGAAAGCACACTCAGGTTGACCGGAGGATTCTCCTCACCTTCCGAGGATTCGGATGGCTGCACAGCGGGAGATTGGCTATCATTTCCTGGTAGGAGAATTCATCCCTCTCCGTGCACTGGATGACTCCGTCCAGGACCAGCACATTCCCATAGGTTTTGCTGTAAAGGGGAGAGGGTCCCGCTGGATTTTAAGCAATGACGATTCAAAAGGATCACAATCCACTTAAGGCAGGGATCTTCAAACTCGGCCACTTTTAAGACTTGTGGACTCCAACTGGCTGAGGAATTCTGGGAGTTGGAGTCCACAAGTCTTAAAAGTGGCGGAGTTTGAAGACCCCTGCCTTAAGGCTTTTTTTGCCCACCTTGTGTGTCCCTGGGATGGGGGCATCTCATTCCCACCTGCCTCAACTCAGCCTTCCATCCTTCCCAGATCGGTCAAATGAGGTCCCAGATTGTTGGGGGGGGGGGCCCACAGGCTGACTCTGTAAACCCCTCAGAGGGGTCTGCAAAGTGGTCTCTAAGTCCAAGCACTAGCTCCCCGTCCATCAAACAACACGTGGCCCTTTTTGCTTGGATCAGCACTTTCTCTTCCACTCCACCCGTTCCCAAAACCACTTCCCCCCCCCCGGTTTCTTTTCCATTTTTCTCCAACTGGCTCCGGCTGACCCTTCTCCCGGGTGTTCGAGGAAGCCCGTCGGTGTTCCCGGCGGAGGTGTAGGCAGCCCCAGCCCAACTGGATCGGATGCCACCCAGGGGCTCCCCCCCCCGGTGAAGTTCAGCCGGGAGGGCCTCTCTGCGATCCTGGCATCAAACGCCTGGGAAGCCCGGAGCTGCATCCAAGCCCCGAGCAGAAAGGCTGAGGATGCTCCGGCGTGGCGGGGTGAAGCCACGCTGCACCCAGGACGGGAGCTGGGCTGGGTTGGCTGCCCAGCAAAGCCCCGCCGGGCCCGCTTCCCGCTCGCTCCGCTGGAGCCATTGCAGATCCCCGGTGGAGCCATTGCAGATCCCCGGTGGAGCCATTGCAGTTCCCCGGTGGATCCACTGCAGATCCCCGGTGGAGCCATTGCAGATCCCCGGTGGAGCCATTTGCAGATCCCCGGTGGAGCCACTGCAGACCCCCGGTGGAGCCACTGCAGATCCCCCCTGGAGCCCTTGCAGATCCCCGGTGGAGCCATTGCAGATCCCCGGTGGAACCACTGCAGATCCCCGGTGGAGCCACTGCAGATCCCCGGTGGATCCACTGGAGACCCCCGGTGGAGCCCTTGCAGACCCCCGGTGGAGCCCTTGCAGATCCAGATCCGCCTTACCTGCGGAAGACGAGGATCTCCTGGAAGGGCGAGCGCTGGCGATGCAGCACCTCCTCCACCTGCAGGGAGAGCGCCTGCCCGGGCCACAGGCTGCAGGTCTCGCGGAACCAGCCCCCGGGCGAGACGGCTCCCCCGGCCGCGGTCGCCTCCATGGCTCCGCTCGCTCCGAACGGGCCGGGCCGGGAGGGAGGGGCGGCGGCGGAGGAGGAGGAGGAGGAGGGCTGCGGCGCCCACCTGCCACCTGTCCGCGCGGCAAGCGAACCCAGGGCTCCCGAGGAGGCGTGGCCGCCGCCTCTCCCCCACTGGGAAGCCTCGCCAGCTCGAGGAGCCGCCCTCCCGTTGGCCAGGCCGGCGAGAGGCGGCCGGAGCGAGCCGAGTGAAGCCATCAGGGTAGGTTGCGCGTTCCAGGGCTGGCCACGTGGGGCGCTCGGGGGGGGATGGAAAAAGAGAGAGGGCGGAAAAGGCGAAGCTGATTGGCCGGGAGGAAAAGGGGGCGGGAGCGAGGGGCCGTCCCTCCACGTGGCTTGCTTGCAGCTGGGCTGGGAAGCTGCGATAGTGGCCAAGATCCGTCAAGCTGGTTTGCTCGGGGAAGCTGTGTTCAGACGTACCTGGAAGGGGGGGGGGGGAAACCGGGAGCAGAAGAGGCTATGTGCATCCAAACAGGCTGGACTACAGCACCCATCAGTCCCAGCCAAGAGCGTTTCCCCCCTCCCTAGCTTTTCTTGGGAGTTCTGGCACTGCAGTCTTGTTTTTAAACTGTTTTTCTATGCAGGTTAGTCCTCGACTTACAACAGCTTGCTTAGTGTCCATTCAAAGTTACAATGACACTGAAAAAACGTGCCTTGGGATTGTTTTTTCTTTCTTTCCCAGTTAATGAGCTCTGCAGCTTCCCGTGATCGGGTCATGGGAGAATTCTGGCGACTGGCTCCTATTTATGACCCCTAAATGGGTCCCAAGGTCACGTAATCCCCTTTTGTGCTAGCAAAATCAATGGGCAGCAAGGCTACTTTTATGCCCCAAAGTGGAAGGACACTTTGATTCCCACGATGGACGAATGACTGCAAAGAGTTGATGGAGTTAGCAGAGATGGTCTAAAGCAGAGGGACCCCTGGTCTAAACTGACCGCTTTGATTAAAGACAAAAATACAGTTTTATTTCTACTTGGACTTTGGGCTTGAGGTGGGGAAAAAAACCTGAAACTTTGATTTTGGGTTTGACCAATTAGATAAGTTTGTTGATATAGAAATAGCTAGTTTATACTAGTATGTAAAAGTAAAAAGCTGAGGTTTGATGTCATTATCTTATTCTACTGCACCACTTTCTTCCCCTGGCCCTACACGTCTCCCCTTTTCCCTCCCATTTTTCCTATTATTTTATTTTGTGGTGTTGTATTATATTATATTATCAACTAATAAAAAAAAATTAAAAAAGCAAAGTCAATGGGAAGGCCAGATTCAACTTAACAACCGGCTTACTAATTTATCAACTGCAGTGATTCACTTAAGGGTCGTAAAATGGGACAAAACTCACAACACAGATTAAGTCCACAGATAAGTTGTGGACTTATCTGTGTATCACAAGTTAGCTGCTGTGAGTGGCCTTCTTGCCTTTTGAGATGTTGGCTTTGTCTACAGCCATTGGATCTCCTGGTGGTATCCCATTCATAACTAGCCAGACCTGCACCCATTACCTTTTGGAGGTCAGGGGAGGAGTGCCAGTTAGTTCAAAACCGATTCTTTGAAGGCCAGGTGGCTGTTGCAGAGATTTTTTTTACCAACATTCAAGAAGGAGTTGCGCTCTGCGCCGCCTCAGAAATTCTGGAACAAATTTAATGGGTTTATATGTTTCATTTCCCTTTCCCCTCACTGCTGCGTATACTGGCTTGAATGTTGATTTAAGTAAAGCTAATTTAAACTGTAATACAAGTGTTACGTATAAATAAGCAAGACAAGCAAATGAACCATCACCGCTTAATTTAAACTTGCCTTTCCTTCCTTTTCAGGAGAAAGAAAAGCACTTTAATTGTGTGGTTTTTTTTTTTAAAAAAAACAACATTGAAAACGGGTATCCATACAAAAAAAAAAAAAAAGCGCCAGGAGTTTCTCGCATCTTGCCAAAACGTCCTCCAACGGTGTTATCTTTTGGGCCAATTGTGGCGAAAACCCCTGCGGGAGGAATGGCAGAAAAGGTAAGGAGAGAGAGCTGAATGAATAATACGGTTTAAAGGTGGAACAATTTAAGCATCAGGGGAAATTGCCCAACTGCTTTACTTCCTGTCCCATTTCAGCGCAGGAGGGCAAACGGTCACCAAACGGTGGCGTGACATATTAGGGACTAGAACCCTTGCCAGTCTTATCTGCAAGGGACAGGGCGCCCTTGACTTAACAGCCATTTGTTTCGTGACCGTGCAAAAGTATAGTGGCGCTGAAAAAAAGTAACACGACCCATTTTTCACACTTGCAACGGATTGCAGAATCCCCATGTCACATGTTAAAAATTCGACTGCTTGGCCACTGACAAGTATTGGACAGTTGCTGGGGTCCCAGGGCCATGTGTTCCCTTTTGGCAGCCCTCTAACAAAGTCTACCAGATTCACGCAACAGCCGGGTTACTAACAACTGCAGTGATTCAATAACAGTGAGGAGAAAGGCGGTCAAGTGGGACAAGCCTCCCTTAGCAACGGTCTCACTTTGCGACAGAAAAGGGGGGCTCTGTTGTGACTGTACGTTGAGGACTATCTGCAGTTCCAATATTCCAGCTGTTGTTTGTTTGTTTTTTTAAAGCACTTTATTAACTCTACCCTACCTGTTGGATTTTCCACCTGTGAAAGACATGCTTTTTGTTCCGGCTGGTTGCTGTGATTTGCCGGCTCCTGAAAATTTCTGGAGGTTGGGGGTTGTTTTTTTTGGGGGGGGAGAGGAGAAAAAAAAAAAAAAGAACAGCGAAATGGATAAATGATCTGGTTGAAAGTCTTGGTGATTTTATTTTTCCCTCCGTAATGATAATATTTGCAATACGTGGTCTGGCCGAACATCGGCCAGCCCCCCCCCCCAATCAGATCCGCCCATCACAACAGCCCCCTCTTGGTTTCTCCTATCTGGAAGAGCCACAACAGAACACAGTGCACAACACATAGCAGCCTGATTTTTGTGATCTGTTGGCTGGGCCAAGGGAAAGTGCCCAGAGAAGTCACACCGAGGCATCAGATAAGATATGGAAAGCAAATAAAGTTTTCTTTTTCTTTCTTTCTTTCTCTTTTTTCTCTTTCTTTCTTCCTTCCTTCCTTCCTTCCCTTTCTTCCCTCCCTCCCTTTTCCTTCCTTCCATTCTTGCCTTTCCTCCCTCCCTCTTTTCCTTCATTCCCTCCCTCCCTCCCTCCCTCTCTCTTCTTTCTTTCTTTCTTTCTTTCTTTCTTTCTTTCTTTCTTTCTTTCTTTCTTTCTTTCTTTCTCTAACTTTCTCCTCTGAAGCAGCGAACGACAGTCTTGGCAGAGAGCCACTTGCATCTAGTGGTTAAGGCACTGGGCCAAGGTTGTGAGTTCTAGTCCCACCTTAGGCCTGAAAGCTGGCTGGGCCAGTCCCTTTCTTTCACCCTAATCCACCTCACAGGGATGTGGTTGTGGAGGAAAACAGGAGGAGACTGGAAGATTAGGTACGTCCGCTGCCTTGAGTTATTTATACAAATAATAAAGATGGAGTGATAAAGAAATACCTTGCTGCCCAGGGCCTGGATGGCGGGATTAAATTGCCGCGGTGGCTTGGATTTGCTGCTCCCTGAAAAAAAAGGGAAGAGCCCAACGGGATCCTCTTAGGAAGAAAGACGGGTACAAAGCTGCCAAGCCAAGAAAGCAACAGGAGGGAGGCAAGAAAAACACCAAAGCGCCTGGGGGTTCAGTGCCCAGGTTGGGGGGCAGCTGAAGAAGCAAAGGAAGGGCGGTTTTTACCCGCAAAGACTCGAAAATCGGATTTGCTGTAGTCGAAGGGTGTGAAACGGCTGGCGGCAGCGTCTGCTTCCGGCTGTGGAGAGTCAGGCCTGGCCTTTTTCTTCTGGAGGGTCTCCGTCGCAGGATTCTCCTCTGCCGCCTCCCGCTTTGGGGCAGCCTGTTCTTGCTGGAAACGCAAACACAAACAAGGAAGGAGAAAAGAACTCCGCACGGTCTCCAGGGAGGCAGCACAAAATTCTCGCTCCCGTTGCGAAAGCGGAAACTGCAGCTGCTTCGACTGGAATATACGGGGTCCAAAACTGGAATCGTGCCAGCTGTAATCCAGCACTAATGAACTCCGCTCCACGGCTTCCGTAGTGGATTCTGGCGATGATCTCTTCGCCCCTCAGTGGCCCCGCCCACTCTAGGCCCCTCCCTCCTATGAGGCCCCTCCCTCCCAGCGTGAAGGGCATCCTTCAGTCATGGGCTTCCTCCTAGCTGCCCCCCCTCCCCAGATTTTACAGCTCTGGCGAGAACAGGGTCAGTGGGGGAGGATGTCACCCTCAGCCAGCTGGTCTGCTCAAGTTTCTAGTCCTTCCTGAGGTAGGTTTGCACACAGGTCTCGGATTCTTTGCGCACCCTAGTTCTCCCCAGGGTTGACACTCACGGCAGCTAACTGGCGAACAGAGACGTTCTCCGTGTCTTTGATTTGGAGCTCCTTCTCTGCTGCCTCCTTCGGGGCTGCTTGGGGAATGGAGGCTGTGAAGGGAGGAAGGAAGGAAGGAAGGAAGGAAGGAAGGAAGGAAAGGACGGAGTGAGGGAGGGAAGGGAGAACTTCCCTCTTGAACACAAGCGGAGCTTTGCTGGATCGCCGCTAAGACCTTTTCACTGGGCTTTGGTGGGAACAGATCACTAACACAAGCCTCCCCCTTCCCTTCTCCCCCCCCGGAAGCAACTTGCTTTGATTGCAGCATTTACTCTTCAAATAAGATGCACACTGATGCTCACTTATGTATTCTAGACCAGGGGTCCCCAAGCCCCGGGCAGTGGCCTATTCGGAATTGGGCCACGAAAGTGGTGGGCCTGAGCCCGCATGCATGCAGCTTAACTCGCGCAAGCAGCGGGCCGGCAAGCACTCACGTGTGTGCGCCGGCCTGCCGTTCACGCAAGTTGAGCTGTGAACTTGTCCACTCGCACAGCCCAGTTCCCCTCTCCCCCCCCCCACCCCACAGGCTAAGCCGCAAAGGTTTGGGACCGCTGCTTTAGATTGCTAACCCCATGGGGAAGGACTCGGGGGGGGGGGATCCTGCATCAAAAGTAGGCCTTGGGCTTCCTTCTTAATGGACCCCCCC